TGCGTGCCTCTTCCCCTCGCTCCTTGGCTTTGCTTTCCAAAGCCCTTTCGGGTAGCCAGAAAGACCAGGGTTTGAATGCGAACAACAGAAGCCTCCATGTTTGTGCGCCTGTGTGCATTGGAGGCAAGGATTCTGTTTGCTGGAGAGAGGTTTCAAAGCAAACTGCAGAAGGGAGAGAGACTTCCAACAGAACCGGCATTTCTCTCGCACACTTAGAGGGGATTTCTAAACCGTCCACAGTTATTGCTACAATTTCACAGGCACATGGGGGGGGGGGGGACTGAGTGTGTTAAAAGGAGAAAAGCTGTCATTAAAAAGTCAAAAAAGAGAGAATGTTTTAGCATCGAAATAATTCAATATGCCTCACAGAAAAAAATAAATTAATACAGAGAGAATATTTAACCTATAATGGATAGTTATTTTCTACCACCGATGGAATGATATTAAAAATTCCAGGTGACAGATTTCAATATTTGCTTTCATTGTAAGTCTGCACTATCCCCAACCTTCCTTCCTTTCTTTCTTTCTTTCTTTCTTTCTTTCTTTCTTTCTTTCTTTCTTTCTTTCTTTCTTTCTTTCTTTCTTTCACACTATCCCCAACCTTTCTTTTTCTTTCTTTCTTTCTTTCTTTCTTTCTTTCTCACTGTGTAGGCAAGGTATGTGGAGTCAATTATGACAGTAGGGAAGGGGTGAATTAAAACATTCACACCAAGGTGATGAAATGAAGGGAATCACATGGCCTCAAAATGTGGCAGATCTGCATTTTGTTGAAAATATTTTGTGTTGGGAAGGATTTGGTGTTGGGGGGGCGGGGGACAAAAACAACAAAAAGCCACACTAGCTTTGATTTGTCTAACATTTCCAAAACAGAACAGACTTCAGAGAGCCAGCTGAACTTTGATGTCGGAGAAGGGTGAAATCAAATCAGAAATAGTCGAAAGGGCCAGTAACAAAGACACTGGTTTGTCCGAGGAGTTAAACTGAGATAGGATTTCCTCTGCCGAGAAGGGAAACAGTCTCTCAACATTCTTCTCCGCATTCCACTTTGGAACTTAATAGGGATCAAATTGTCCATCTGTACTCTATTCTTAATGCCCTGGATCCTATTTCTTGCTCCAATAAAGCTTTTACAGGCCTGCTACCTTGAGGCTATCTGAGTTCGGCTATCCAGCAAACAACTCTTCGGGGTTTTTTTTTCCTCTTTTTTCATTTACATGTCCTAGTTTTCAATAATTTCCTCTGATACCCGCTTATTTTCTTTCTGCAAACAGAACTTCCTCTGCTTCTTAGTGGCTTTTTGTCCCCCCCCCCCTCCTTTTTGGTCGATAAACTAGATTATTTAGTTTCCATAGCGGCTTGCAATTTTTGTCTGAGATTGATTAATGCAAAAGGGGGTATTTCTTCTCTATTTTTCTCTGCCTGCGAGGTTGATGAGCATTTTAAATCAATGCATTTCTCAGGGAAAGGGGGAAATTAGAGACATTCCTTTTTCTTTGCGTCAGCTTTCTTTCTTTCTTTCTTTCTTTCTTTCTTTCTTTCTTTCTTTCTTTCTTTCTTTCTTTCGAAAGCTTTGTGGAGATCAGTTTAATAGGTGGACAGCATTCCATTCTCCCACAAACTAAGGAAGTGAGAGGGGACAATCTACAAATTAATTTAGACCACTTGAATGCTTCCCAGTCAATATGCACATTTTAAGGCCAAATCAGCTGGGTTGGAATAAACCACTGATGTAGGGAGGGGGTTGAGGTATTTTTTCAAGCTGCCCTGAATTGGGGGTCGATGTTTGACTTTTGCACAGAGCCCCCCAAAGCTGGACCCCCAAAAAAGAAAC